GCCAGCCTCTAATCCAAAGAGCCCCCTCAGACCAAAGGCCAGCACAGGCTGCTCTCAATCTAGGCCTTGGCTGGAGGTTTCCTAAACAAAGCCTGTTCACCAACAAAAGCCCATGTGATTTTTATCTGAATAGCAAACCGACAAAAGGCCACCACTGCAGAGGTTGGACCATCATATCCTTCATTTCCTGTCTTGAATTAATCTTTTACCCCAAGACACACCATAAAACAGAATAATGCTGATTCAACAGTGTTAAATCACTAACTATGAGTCAAACAGCCCCCACACAAGCAGCTCAACGTCTCTGATGTTGCACCTAGGTTTTATTAGGCCTTGATAAACAGTGAGGTAGAAACAGTGGGGGCCCTGCTAACTCCTCAGACACTCCAGCTCAGGGTCAAAGAGTGAAGTGCAAAGTGTGATAGCTGACCCTTTGTTGTTGTTGTTGTTTTGTGCCGTGGAGTTGGACCCGACTCATAGCAACCCCTCCTTGGGTTTCTGAGGCAGTATCACTACAGAAGTAGATTGCCCCATCTTCCTTCCGAGGAGTGGCTGGTGGGTTTGAACCACCAGCCTTCTGGTTAGCAGTCAAGTGCCTTAGGCACTATGCTACCAGAGCTCCCAGCTAACCCCTAGGAGGAGGGAAAAAGCCACTAGATTGGGAGTCAAGAAATTTGAGTTGTCTCAGTTAGACACTAGTTTGCTTTTTGAGTTTCAGTGTCATGTCTCTAGGCCTTAGTTTCTTTTCTCACAAAATGGGAGAACTGGAGTTGATGATCTATCTGTAAATTCTTTCTAGCTTTAAAACCCTGAGACTGTAAATCCTAGACATAAATCCACCTTCCCTAATCTTTTCCTTTTTTTCTTTTGTTGTCTGACTGAAGCATCTTTCAGCCCTCACTGAACAGCCTTCCACCAGTACTACTACCTTTATTGCTCCGGAACCCCGAAGCATCTGGTTACCCTGACCACAAAGCCTGGCCAGGGAAGAAGAGGATAAACTTAGGGCCATACTCCTAAGAACGTATTCACTACTTACAGGTCAAACAACTCGAGAGGGCCCAGGTACCTTAGGAAATCAAGATCTTGGATACCCCAACAACCTGTAATCACCTGGGTTGGTTTCTTTCCACTCAAGAATTTTTCTCAAAACTTTAGATGTCTTTTCCCATGCAAGAGACAGAGGCAATTCTTATCTTTGCTGTGACATACCTCAGGGAGGGGCAGGGGTGAGGTTGTAAAGCCACAAAGGTCAAGAAAAAATTGCTTACAGAGGAGAACTGGGGCCACGTGAGGAGGCAGAGGCCTGAAGGAGAAACGGTATTGATCTCACAGATGGGGCTGCCAGTGAGCTCTGAGACCACAGAAGTCTGGAAGGTTCCTTTAAGAGGCAGTGCAACCCTCCATGCCTCCCTTATTTCCTTGATAAGAAATCAGAGAGCAGGTAAAGTTTTGTGACTTGACCAAGGTCATACAGCTAATCTGTGAAACAGCCAAGAAAACAATGTGGGTCTTTTGGTCCCAGCCCTTTTTCCCACTCAACTTTGTTCATCTCCAGAGTTTAATTAGGCTGCTCTAATGAGGCCAGCTGGATCCTCTGGAGACTCTAAGAAACATGAGCCACGTGTCACTTAGGGAAAAAGCAGCCCCAGCAGATGTTCCGATAACTGCCTCTCTTACCTGGTGCATGCCTTCCCAATCTGATATTATTTCCTTGTTCTTTCTCCAACCCTTCACCACAAAATCTTGAGGAGGTCAGAGGTCAGCAACAGGGGAAAGGTAAGTCCCCCTGTCCCTATAGTACCCTAAGTATCTAAGATAACCCACAACTATCCATCATTCCTCAATCTAGATATGGTTGGTAGGGGAAGAGTGGTAAGAGGAGAAGATTGAATTAACAACCCACTGGATCTGTTTAGGCCAAGGGTATTATTCACGGAAAATTAAATGGGTACTCTGAAAGTTTATGACAGCAAACAATAGACTGAACCTCTGCCAGGGACCTTTTGAAGATCAATGTTTGACACATCACTTCAGTCTCAGAAGAAGGAAGCTCTGAGTAAAAGATTCAAGGAATTAATTATTCAATGTGCATGACCCAGTTCCCGGAGGTAAGGCTGAGTGAGAAGAGAACTCTTATCAGAGCAAGAAATTCAAATACTGTACTTCCTAGGGTAGTGTTCCCTTTGCTGCCAAGGAGGATCCATTTATGGTTAAGAGTGGTAAAAAGAAGAAAAGAAAAAAGCCAAAGTTCACTCATTTAACAAATATTTACTGAGCTCCTCTTATGTCCAAGGCACTCCAGAGATTTGCATGTGGTTGGAGCTTAGTAGAGCAGAGAGGCAGTGGAATTTATAAATAGGAGGCCTGGACTATGTCCCAGCTCAGTCCTTCAACAGCTACCTTACATTGGGCTATTTACATCCTGAGTTAAATTTCTCAACTGTAAAATGGGAGCAAACCCACTTGCCTTCTTATGAAGAGTAAATGATCTTTGTAAAACATAAAAAGAGATGTAAATGTGAGGTGGACACAGTAATGATAGAGCATGACCCACTTCCGCTGCCCTAGAGAAGTTTATGATCTAGTGATGGTCTACAAAATAATCCAGGGTACCCATTTGGTAAACAACATATTCTCTGTAATTTGGGCAAATTGTAGGTTTCAACCTGCCCATGGAGCTGGATCCAGGGGTCAGCCCCAGTCTCTCAGACTGTATGGCCAAGAAATTGTAGTAAATGGGAGAGCAAAAAACGGAAAGAGCAGCTGAGAAGTGTGGGGCCCACCTGGCCCTGTGTCAAGCTACTACTGAATGAATGACCCAGGAGAAACCCAAGATCTGGAGGGAAAAATGACCTACTAGAAGTGTGGCCAATCAGAAACAAACAAAACAATTTATTTGAATGCAACAGGACTTTGCCAGCCAGAAATGCACACACTTCCCTCCCCACACACATTTCAGACAATGATGGAATTCACTATTGCTTGCCTGATCCACCTCTGCCGGGGCTCTGGATTCTATGTTTCTCCAGGGGAGGAGAGGAATTGTCAGGCCACAGCAGACTCGTCTTGCCTGGTGTCTCCCCAGGCACTAAGAATCAGAAATACTGGAACAGCTTTGCCCTTGTTCATCCAACACCTCTTCATCCTGCTGCTCAGGACTCTCAACACAGACTCCTCTGAACTTCAGCTCCTTACCCCCACGTGGGTGCTCAGTGCTCACCAGGCCAGCCCCCAAATGCCCAGACATGCCCATCTGCTGACCCTCTAGCAGGGCCTCCACTCATGCTCTGGCCTCTGGGATTGGATCCCAATGTTCTCCCCTTAATCGCTCTCCTCCTTCAACCAAACTAAAACCTGGTCCCAATCTCAGATCTCCAGAGACATTCCTAGAGGGCAGGGCCCACTCTATTCAGTTCTATGTTCCCTCTAGGTCAGGGCATTCCATAAATTCTTCATCTTCCTATTAATGCAGATTTATCATCCCGAATTATTCTCTGATTGCTGTATATAGAAGGGAAGCACAGGAGCAGGAAAATAGCAGAAACAATGCTAGACTGGGAATCAAGGGCCTACATTTCAAGTCGGCATTTGACACCAAGTTGTATAACCTTGAGAAAGTATCTTCAGGCCAGCTCTCAGTTTCCCTATCTGGTAATGAGTGGTTTGCTCTCAATTACCTCTCAGGTCCCCTCTAATTATCAAATTTGGCTTTACAGAAACCAGACTACACAGGGACATAGAAGACATGAGTCCTGGTCCTTGTTAGCCTACAACCTGGGACAAGTTTGGTGACTGCTAAGACCCCAACCTCCACATCTACAAAATAAATGAGGATAACATGACTTCCACTCCCAGGGTACAAGGCTCCCATGAGACATTCTGATTAGGGTTTCATCAACTGAAAAGCCCTAAATAAACTTTGGGGTTAGACTCCCTCAGTCAACAAACAGCTACTGACCCCCTGAGACACAACAGGTGTAAGGTTGGCTGGAATGGGGCTGCCAGCTCAGGCAGGCAGGTAAGAGGATGGTTTCTTGAGGCTTCTACAGCTGGTGGGTAAGCCGGACAAGTGAACAAGCCCTAACTGCAGCCTGTAGTATATCTGAGGCATGAACCAAGTGCTATGGGAGTATGGAGAAGGTGACACCTACTTTGAGTGGGGAAGGGAGGGAAGCTTCTTCTCTGAGCAAACTGTGTTGAGACCTGGTGAGCTGTTGCAGAAGTTGTGGGAACTGAGCCAGGGCAGAGAGCAGAGGCAGAAAATAAGGCTGGAGAGGGAGGGTGAGGTCAGACCGGAGGGGGCTTTGAAGGCCAACAGAACAGTGGCTGGACAGACGTGCATCTGAGGCAGGTCTCTGCACCACTGTAGAAGAGGGGGCAGAGGGTGGAGCTGGGGAGAGCAGGGGGAAGGCTGGTGATGATCCATGAGGGCGACTACAAAAAAATGTGGCCATTATTGATTTTCGCCCACAGCATGCCTTCCAGACCCTAAGCCTCCACTGACATAAAGATGATGCAACTACATTTTTAAAATTTTAGACAAATAGTCTACGGAGCTCTGAAGTCATTCCGCTCTGGCAAGCCATCTGGCTAGATTCTTGCCTTAGCACAGATGTGGGCCAGCAAGAGGCCGACACATCATCAGAGCTGGGGACTGGGTCAGCTGAGTGCCTAGTCTTGCTTAGAAAAAGAATGGACAGATACTCCACCTGCCAAAACACCAGAGGGCCAGGGACTGGTGTCTTACCTCCCACAACAAATCTCAGTCTCAACTCCTCCTTTTTCCTTCCTCTGACCATGGGCAGGCTGTGCAACCTTGTAGGTTGTAGGCAACAAGGACTGAGGAGGAAAACCAAGGCTTTCACCAGTGGTCTTTCTTCAACTGGGGTCATATTCACTTCGGCTTGAAGAAAGCATGCCTTTATACATTCTAGTCTTACATCTAGCCCTCCAAGAGCTCCTTAATGGTATAAAGGAGGCTCACCAGTGTGAGTTACTCACTTGATTCTTAGGCATCATGATGGTTAGTCATCTTCTTGTGGAATGAGACATGCACAGGTTGCCATTTTCCCCTAAAAACAAAAGTCCAGTAATTAATGTGGTTACATTATCTTACATTACAGCCTCATATCTTCTTCCCTCCAAGAAGCTGTACATGCTTATGCATTCTGTCCAGAAGTGACACGTTACCCAGCAAGAAAAAATGGACAGAGGGTTTCTCTCTGTAAGCCAACAAGTTTTGCATATGCAGAAAGGTATAGCAAGACTGCTAAACAAATTCTATTGTCTGCCACTGTCTGGGAAGCCTAAGGGCTGTTCACATCGCTACACTAGGCTTTGCTGAGAGAATAAGAGAAACTTTAAGACATAAAGTAAATCGAGTTGGTAAGAAATTTGATAGCAACTGACCAATGTGAAATTTGTCGTATTACCTAAGGCGGAAAGGTCTAAAATGCTAAATAAATAAGGAAACTACAAAGGCAGACTATTGGGAGAAAGCAAACTTTCCTCCAGAGCTGGCACCCTGAATTTGGACTTTGAGCCTCTAAAACTGCGAGAAAATCAATTTCTGTTTGTTAAGCTCACCTGCTTGTAGTATTTCTGTTCTGGTAGTGCTAGATAAGTAACACAGTACCCAAACACAGGGTACACACACAAACAAAAGTGGACTGTTTGATCATGGCTAAGTTATCCAAACATTATATGGGCTTCCAATGACCATCCAAATTATTTGGCTGCATCTTATTACTTCTGAAGAAAATGCCCATACACCTGTTTGGAAAAATGGATCTCAGAGTTACAAAAACATTTCTAATGTTTTACTTTCACATTTTCTGTAAAAACACAAATTTCTGAAAGGTCACCTCAAGAGGAAAAACTAGTATAGACGTGAAAGCTGAAATACAGAAGAGGCACTTTCCACATCCCTGGAAGTACACACACTTTTCTCAACAGGGTGGCAGGCCCACCTGCTCATATAAACACATGTATATTCTCTCTAGGACACAAAGAGCCTCCTTCAGGGTGCCAGGGAGATGGGAATCATACAGAAATTCTCAGACTATTAATGGGAGAGGGCCTACTATTTACTGGGCACTGACCATGTAACCAGCACATTAGCTCAGTGACTTCTCAAAAATGAGGAATCAGAGGCTCAGAGAGCAGAAGGCACTTGGAAGGTCTTGCTGTTGGCAGTATTTGATCTAGGCCTGATTGACCCAGCACTCATGGCCTTTCCCACCCAGAGGATGTGATAGGTGTCCTGGCTGCCAACACTGATGCACCTGAGATGGGCTTGCACACCTGATGAGATGCCTGGCAAGCTCTGAGGATGGCCACCTGAGTAGAAGCTGCACTCATCCCCATAACCATCACCATCAAGCCCACACCCTGCTGGGCTTGTGCCTGCTGGCAAACAGGCTGACCCGCCTGGGCCACATTCTATCAGCTTGAGCTGTAGGCTCCACGCTGCTGCCTCAAGACAGAAGGCAGAGAGGCTGGAGGCCTTGACTTCATGTGTTTCTGCTTCTCAAGTGAAGGTTCCTGGGTGCAGTGGGTAAAGGGAGCTGGATATCCTGGTATAGAATTCCGAATGAGTCTAAACAAGTTTGAGAAACCAGGGAGCTCCTTTTGCTCTCCCCAGGGCTCAGGAACAGAAGCTTCCACACCTGGGGTATTGCTGAAACCAGTAGCATGGGAACAGGGGCCTCATTGAGGCCCTGCTTTGGTTTCCTTTATGGTGGGATGAAGATGGTACATGACAGGGCCAGCCCATGGGCTGACCATTAGTCAGATTCTAATAGACAATCAGAATGAAGATCAATGTCTCTTCTGAGACTTGCTATCATCCCAATTCTAAGCATAGAAGCATGAGGCCTTTTGTCCTCTGTTGAACCCATTTGGTTAGTGAAGGAAAGGTTTCCTGTGAGCCTTAGTGGCCCCATGGATTCCAAGGGATGTGAGAAAGCTAAGAGCCCACGGAAAGGGGAACCACAGCGGCATTTTGCTTTTTGATGCTCTCCACAGAACTAGGTATCTTTGCTGAGGGATCCCAAGCACTTGGAACAGGGTCTGGCACCACTAGGCACTTAGTAAGCATCATTTGAAGAAATAAATCCAGGCTTAGATGCACTGAAGCCTTGTTCAAGAACCATTTGGTACATGTTAGTCTGAGATACACACAAGACCAGTTCAGAGCCACAAACCAGGTCCCTCAGCCCTAAACAGAGCTCTTCACAAAGAGAACAGAGGCTCAGGATACTGAGGCAGGTCTACTCTTCCCCATAAGCAATAGGGGAGCACCTGATAGAATAAGAGACATGTCTAAGTGCAAAGGCTACCCAATGAGGTGATTAGGAGCTCAAACCCTGGGATAAGAAAAACTAGGTCCCTATCCCAGCTCTGTCACTTACCAGTTGGGTGTCCCTGGGTAAGCCACATAACCTCTGGGACCCTCAGTTTCTTACCTACAAATGGGGACTATGTTAACTTCTGTGTCGTAGGGCTGTCCTGAAGATTTTATGAGATGATGCTATAAAGTACTGTGCGCAGTGTGTAGTTCCGAGTAAGTGCTCAGAGTTGATATCTGTTGCTTTTGCCTGCACTAGAGAGGGTGGTTAAAACACAGTCTCTGGAGACCTCTGCTTGGGTTCAACCTCAGATCTCCTACTAACTGGCAGTGTGATCTTGGGTAAATTGCTTAGTCTCTCTAAGTTTCCTGATATGCTAATTTGAGTTGAAGAGTAAATGAGTTATGCAGTCAAGGACCTTAGTAAGCACTCAACAAAGAGAAGTTAGTATTATTCTTAATTATTAATTTTACCAGCATCTTTCTCTGTTTCTTCTGATGGCAGATTCTACATCTGCCATCTCTCCAGACAAAAAGCAAGTGTGGGATTCAAGATTGGTTCATGATTATTTCTCCCCTCCCTGGCCATATTCTTTGGTATACGGGGTATACATGTGCTCTAAGCTGGGCTAAGTTCCAATCTGGAAAGTCCTGGGAAGGACTGGTACTCTTGGGCTGGGTGGAGGGCTGTGAGGAGTCAGCTAGGAGATGCCTGCAGCCATGAATACTGGCTGGTTAGGGATGCAGGAGATCACTGTCCCCTTCCTGGGCTGGATCCTCAGCACCTCATTGGGCCTCCCCGCCCCCCACCATCCTTCCAATGTATCCCATCTGTATTTAAGCTCATTCAAGTTGAGTTGTTGTCACTTGAAACCAAAAGAGTTCCGACTAACAATAGCACTCAACAAATGGTTGCTTTATCATTGCTAAATCCTGCCCAAGAAGAAAAGCCAGCTGGCATGCCTCAGTGGAACCCAGGCAGCTAGGGAAAACCAAACATGTGCAGCGAGGTGTCTCTATAACCGAAGTGAGGGGAGCCCACTGCAAGACCCTGGACCAATGCCCTTCCTGAGAGGAAGATGCTGAAACAAACAAACAAAAATGACAGCTAGGCCTGTGGGCCCTGGCAGTGAAGCCAGCCTCAGACCTGAGCTCCCCTCTGCCCTGAGCATTAGGGAAGGGGAAGAGAAGAAATGAGGAAATTAGAGTGGATTTTCATTGACTTCAAAGTGGTACAGAAAAAAAATCCAGGAGGCTCCCTTACACAACTTTTTTTAGAGGAGGAAGTAAAAGAGAAAAGGGGAAGGGAGGGAAAGGGCAGAGAAAGTACCTTGTTTGAGCACTTACATGTGCCAAGCACTGCAAGCCAGACTCTTTCACTAGTATGATCTTATTCGACACAACCCTGGAAGCTGAATGATCGTTCAACCTATTTTCCACTTGAAACTGAGGCTCACGGAGATGCAATCCTAACACACCAAGGCCACATCACCAGTGTCCGATACCTAGTCTGCCCCACATGCTGCCTCCTCCACACACTCTGATCCTCACATGGGCCACTTATGCTACCACTCACACACCTGTGCACAAGCGCCTTTCGACCCAGAGATGGCCTACCACAGGAAACCAAACTCACTGCCTTCAAGTCGGATCCAACTCACAGCGACCCCTCCTTGGGTCCAAAACAGTAAGTATCACTACAGAAGTAGATTGCCCGACCCTCCTTTCGTGGAGTGGCTGGTGGGTTTGAACGGCCAGTCTTCTGGTTAGGAGTCAAATGCCTTAGGCACTACACCACCAGAGCTCACCCTAAACGCTCAGACAGGAAAGGCAGCATCTTTGGACACCCCTAGTGCATTCTTGGGCATGCCTCCTTCTCTGGACCTTAATTTCTTCATATGTAAAAACAGGGGTCCCATTAAAAAAAAGAAAGAAAAATCCCTCCAAGGGTTTCAGTGTAATTTTAATGAGATGACATTATCAGTGGATTGTAGCAAGGATGCACCTGTCAATATTAGGCAGGGATTGTTGTTGTTTTTACTGCTCTGTTGCCTCTCCTGAGAGATTCTGATTTAATAAGTAAGAGCACAACACCTGACACATGGCACAGTGCTGAATAATGTTATCTTCATTTCGTCTCATTTTCCTGCTACCTCCTGGGCCAGCACTCAAAGAGGGGTTATTCCTACAGCTCCTGGCCTTCTAACGAAAAGCCAAACCATTTACGGGTGAGCCGATTCTGACTCATGACAACCCCTACGTGTCAGAGTAGGACTGTGCTCCACAGGGTTTTTAATGGCTGAGTTTTCAGGAGTAGATTGCCAGAACTTTCTTCCGAGTTGCCTCTGGGTAGACTTGAAACACCAATCTTTTGGTTAGCAGCTGAGAGCATTAGCAGATTGTACCCCACCCCCCCAGGACCTCCTTGAGGAAATTGGGAGGGTGTTACTAGGAGGCCTGGAGTCCTTGGGTGGTGCAAACAGTTAACATGCACTTTGCTGCCAACTAAAAGTTTGAAGGTTCAAGTTCACCCAGAGATGTCTTGGAAGAAAAGCTTGGCTGTCCATTTCTTAAAAAAAAAATCAGCTACTATAAACCTAAGGGAGTGCAACTCTAATCTAACACAGGTGGGTCACCTTGAGGCAGAATCAACTCCAGAGCAATTGTTCTAAAATTCCCTGCAGGAAAAAGCTCTGGTGGTGTAGTGCCTAAGGCATTTGAC